TTAGTTATATTACGCACCACTGATGCGAAACGGCCGCTAGGTTCGTGGCGGGCAGGGGCCACTTTTCCTGTCGCGGACTATAGGCCATTAGGTACCATTAGGTATGTGAATAAATACCTTTATACATAAACCATGTTTCATGTAGGGTACCTATTTTAGAATACATATTTTAACAATAAATGAGAAAAATTTTGATTTGATTTTTAAGTGACCATATAACTCAGTAAATAAAAATTATAAATTTACTTTATGTTCTTAACATAATTCTAAACTAAGTACACAATATAACTATGGTTAAGGTTAATACATTTTTATTAACTAAATTAAATAGGTAATTACTAGAAAAATAGAATTTATTTCAGTCATTCAGAAAATTTGCAAACTAAAATTTAAATATTTAAAAAAAAACTAAAATTATAAATTAGATACTTACCTGAGGTACAAGGTTTATTTGTTTTAATAAAACAATTTAATGAGTCCAGGCTTTTATTAGCCCCTTTTACATTTCATTTTGCATGAATTAACATGCTGATTCCAGTCTGTGGAGTTAATTTTTTTTAAATCCCGTTCACGTCCACAATGTGAGCACTTCATATTAAAGATATTACAAAATGAACCAACAGTATTGCGGACCGTAGTAAAATAATTTTAACAATTCAGTATTCACTAAATTAACGTCCACAACGGCACAACGCCTGACAAGTGACTGAATTACAGAAAATAGGAAAAGCAGGATTAAACAGTAACACACACCCACACACATTTTCAGCCGATGCTCTGCACGAAATTCTATTTTTATCTTACTGATATAGTAATATGACTATTCATTATATATTCCCATTTATATTTAATCTTGATTTTAAATTCTAGTATTGTTATTAATGATAGTTGAACTATTGAAATACGATTTCGTTATTCATTTTATCGCGAATCAGCGAAACGTTGGTAGTTAATTGGGTATTTGATAATCGGGATTCGGATTATTACTTTATTAGTTACTACTTTACTAGTAGTTCCGATATATAATTATAATTATTTTTTTTTTTTTGGTTTAAACCAAAGTCAGTTAAAATTTAAACAATATATAATATATATTATAATATTACCTATATAGTAATATTATCATCAATAAAATAATTTTTAAAATTTGCCTATAATATAAACAATGTCCTGAAGTAGAAAGAAGTTCGATAATAATGATAATTCTAACATAGGTTTAATTGCGATTTGCACATAATCAAATAATATCTTATTATTGCGTACAAGACGTGACTTTATTTTCGTTATAACTTATAGAGCTGTTTATAAGTTAATCGTTAATCTAGGTTATTCAGTCTTTAATGATTGTATTTATTTGTTCATTGTTGCTAAAATTGACATGGCTATCAAATTACCACCGGTTACCAAGACCAAGTACCCATCTATTAAAATGACACCCACCCCAAAACTTTTTGGTGGTTCAGTGAACCACAAAATGCATGATCAAGCCGCCTCTGAATGTGTTAACGGGTTATCAGATGCGGCAAAGGTACACACTATTGTGGCACTCATTTGTATGTGATTTTTTTTTTTTTTAATCATGTCTCATGGTTTAATATTGTTCCATTTGGTGTAAAAATGCTTTGTTGAAAGTTTGGTGCAAATCAAATAATATTTGATGGTCGCTCAAGGCAATCACATCTTTAAGGCTATTACATCTCTAATTGTACTATAAAAATTAATAATGGATAGGTAAGGTATGTACTAAGTAGTTATGTAATGCAGTCATTATTTATATAGTTGGACAGAGCTAATATAAGTAACAGAAATGCGACATTTGTATTAGGAGCTGTGGCTCAATCAGTTGGGCAAGATTTAACTAGCATTGCTTTAAATAGAGAATCAATACGAAGAGCTCGTCGTCAACAAAGAGAAAAAATTGCGGCAGATATAAAATCTGCCTTTGATCCATCTGACTCGCTAGTAATTCACTTTGATGGAAAAATCCTACCAACATTGACAAAAACAGAACACGTAGATCGCCAAGCCGTTTTAGTTTCCGGAAATGGTAATTTGAAACTTTTAGGTGTTCCACAATTGTTAAAAGGTACTGGAAAAATGATAGCTGAGGCAATTTATGATCTTCTTAACGGCTGGAACTTATCAAATCGTGTTCAATTTATGTGTTTTGACACAACTGCTAGCAATACAGGACTTAAAAAGTGGTGCATGTGTGTTATTAGAAACAAAATTAGAACGAGTATTGTTAAAATTGGCCTGTCGGCATCATATTTTTGAAATTGTCGTAGGTAAACTGTTTGATTGTTTAATGGGTCCATCAAATGGACCAGATATTGCATTATTCAAACAATTTTCAAAATCTAGTAATGGTATTTATAAATTAGCCTTAAAAGTTTTTTCTGGACATTTATGGTACCTTAGTGATACATTAATTGGATTGGCATTTTTTGACAATCGAGTTTCTGATGATATTAAATTAAAAATGGTAAAGTGTCTGGACAAAATTGGGACTAATGTTCTTGAACACAGAATAAAAATACCAGAACATAGTATTTCAAATTGTGAATTAAATGATTTTGTTACAAATAATACCCATAAGCTTTTTACGGCTCCGAACATTAAAACTGACTTTTTAACGACACACCCAAGTACTTGGAAAAATAGTACGGAATTTCTGGATGGATATAAAAAAGTAAAAGCTCTCAAAGTGGTTAATGATGCAGCTGAAAGAGGTATAGCATTAATGACATCATTTAATGGAACTCTTACAAATCAAGAAGAACAACAGCAATACATTCTGCAAGTAATCGAAAAACACAGAAAAGATTTTCCTGATTCCAAAAATACAACTTTGTTACAAATGTAATTGATTGTAAACCTTATGATATTTATACACCTTATCAACACAATAGTTATGTAATGTAATAACCCAATTTGTATTTACTTTTTATTGTTCCTAATATAATTAAAACTACATTGATAATTAAATTTAACATTACAAAAATAAAATTATCATAGGTATATTATTATTTTGTATTTGGTATTTTTAAGTGCATTGAGCGACCTTGTAAAATTTTGAAAATTTTTTTTAACTTTCACAATATCACTTTTATTATAAATAGATCAAATTAAAAACATGAGAAAACTAAAAAAAAAAATTTGAGTGCCACTCTAGTACACACATTACATTTTATTTTTCTATTATTATAACATTTACACGGCCTATTATACTGTCCCTACCTGGTCTGTATAGTAATAACTAATAAATAATTTTAATTTTAATTTTAATTTATAGGGCGTTTTACAATCTTCCGAAGCTCTAAAACGACAAGTACGGCGTATAAGAAATAATGAAATAGCAGGGCCATGTGATCCATCAGATTTATTATCTTTACAGATACCCAATGAGTATCAAAATTATTCACCATCAATCGGAGTTAATGAACATTTTGTATTGGCTGATAGTGGGCCTAGCAATGAAAGAATATTAATATTTGGTCGACCACTTGGTCTCAAGTTATTAAAAGATTCGAAAATATAGTACATGGATGGAACTTTCAAAGTGGCACCTACTTTATTTTACCAAGTTTATGTTATTTTAGTTGAAATTTTAGGGGGAGTGCATCCTGCAGTTTATGCATTGCTACCTAACAAAAAGGAACAAACATATGTAAAATTATTTAGTATGATTAATCAATTACAACCTGATCTCCATCCAACATCAGTTTCTTGTGACTTTGAACTTGGAGCCATCACAGCAATAAAAAATTCATTTGAAAATATAAATATTTTTGGGTTTTATTTTCATTTAAGCCAAAATTTTTTGGAGAGATACATTTACTGTCAAAATATAATAATGAATCAAACTTTTGTGTTGCAACCAAAAAAATTATTGCACTGGCAATTATACCATTTTGTAATTTAGATATGGCTGCAGATGAGTTGGCAGACGAACCACAGAACAAACAGAAGGGAATCTTAAGGCTCATCGAAAAACCGTCCGACATTTCTAGATTTTAAACGTGCTGCCACGTACCGAGTAACCTTTTTTTTAAGTTTTATGTGGTTTGTGGCTACACTGTTAATCTGCAATTCCACTCATTATTGTTACCTATTTTAACTTTATTATTTTTGTAATTTTTTAGTCAAGTACTAACGTAATTTCATAATTAATATTTCTCATTTGGTAACTATCAAAGTCTGAGTTTTCCTATTAAATAAATTATAATATTAACTTGTTATGCGTGTTGATTGTTATATTTGTTTTATTATTTGTAATAATTGTTTACGATGATGTAATTTGTTTTTGATACTTTACAAAAAAATAAAAAAATAAATTGAATTTATACGGTATAATAATTTAAATTTTACAGCTGTTAGAGAGTATTAAATGTGAATTTGAGGTATTCCTACTGACTATAGGTACAGGTTATGTAACAATGTCACATACTTCTACCAGTATATTTATTTAGAATAAATGTTCAATTTGTCTTAGCAATTGCGTGTAATTAGTACTGCTTAGATTATTTAAAACCAGCGTACGTAATTTGTTTTGTAATCTTCTGTGTACCTATGCATTTTTGTTCATTCATCAACTAAATATAGTGATAAATAAAATATGTATAGTTTTTGTTTTTCTTAGATTCTGTACTTAGATAAATGGTAAAAATGCAATTTCTTAAAAAAAAATCGGTTTGATTGTTTGAATATAATAATATATTAGAAATTTGAACGAATAAACAGTGCTGCACAATATAAAGAAAAAAGAGAAATTCCCGGTACGTGGCAGCACGTTTAAATTTTAGAAATGTCGGACGTGGTTTTATCATCTCCCATAAGAGCCTATGTTAAATGAAATAAGATTCCCTTCTGTTTGTTCTGTGGACGAACTTCCAGATGAGTTTATACCATTATTTGAGTGGTTTGAAAAATTTTACATTGGGAAGAAAAATCGACGTATAGGAAGTATATGAGTCTTTTTACTATTAATTTTCGACGAAATGGTCGCTCGCCGAAACGAACATCGTCGAATTGACATATCGCCGAATCGCCCGCACCGAAACGTCCTAGATCCTAAGCAGGACATTTCCTCATGTATTACGTCTGAATTAGAAGATACGTCACGTTCATTATCATCCCCCTCCAAAAAGCGAGCACGTTCTTCTATGATTTCTTCAATAAAAAATACAGATGATTCAACTCCAATATCAGATCTTGTCTCAAAAACTATTGTTGCTGATTCTACTAATTTTATGAATGTATATGATATAGGATTTTATATAAACCGTACGTTATCACAAAATGAAATATCTATTATGAATAATCTATGGGTGCCAGATATCAACTACAAATTTCCAATGAAAAAGTTTATGAAAAAAAACAAGCAAGTAAATTTAAAGTTTCAATATTCGTGGCTTCTGAAGTATCCATGGCTATGTTATTCCAAAAAGAATGCGGCGCTTTTTGTAAATTTTGTGTAGCATTCGTTAAGTCTGGTGTTGGATATAACTCAAAAAAGCCAAATTCTTTTGTAGTGACTAAATTCGATAACTGGAGAAAAGCATTACAATATATTAACAATACTAATAAGTAATATTAGATATTATCAGTAAATACTAATTAGTCCATATTGTTTGTTATTTAAGTGCATATATTATTTGCTTTCCTTGACGCATAATTAAATATTTATTTAATATTTTAATACATACTTTTCAATTCCGAGGTCTAAATATTATATGTATATGTAAATTTATTTGATTGAGCTTGTAATCAAAACTACTAGACTGCTTTCAAATTTCAATCAAATCTAGTGAAGAGTAATTTGCTTTTTTTTTCGGAATTGAACCAATATATTTATAGTGCGGCTCGTACAAAATATGTTCGGAGTACTTGAAACTCGCGAATTAATACTTTTTGTTTCTCTCAGATTATGTCGCCAAAAAATAAACAGAAACAAACGAACATTCGGCCACAACGGTTTTAATTTTAACTTATATGTCTGAGGCCAAAAAAAGTGAAAACTTTTTAAAAATTGCATTCTGTTCATTTATTATTCTCAAATTTATAGAAATCTAAACTGATATACTCACATGAAGTTAATGCAATTAAACCGAAACACTCCAAGTCTCCAATAACGTAGGCGGATTGCTCAACTAGGTGGAATATGTCCACAAAGCAAGGAACAACGACACAGCGACTTATCTGTGAACTGAGGTACAAAATGCAACATGTATTGTATAATTGTTCGTTTTCTCCCGGGCGAAGTCGGGTATTGTGTAATATGATAAAATACCAATTTTTAAACCTTTTAAGTGTCTAACAATGTTATTGCCATGAATAACGGCTACCTGTAATATATATATAAAAAAACATTTTAAAAAATATGTATTAAACATTTACGCCAGCGACGGTTGCTTTCTAAGTGTATTTATTACTTAGTAAAATATTATAAACACGTAATAATAAACATTGTTATAATTATTTTCCGACCATCCGGTATCTGTTCTCGTTTTGGCTCGATTCATATTATTTTTGAGTGAAGATTATGATGTATTCGGTAACAATATTATGTCTATGTTCATTGTTTTTGCATCGTTTCGGAGTCGTTGGGTGGGCTCGTGGTTTTGAGTCACCTACCCCCGGATCCGAGGAAGAAGTCCGACCCTGCAGTGTCACGACCACGGTTATCTACTCAGGTTAGGAATCGGCGTATGCTTGTTCATTGCGAGCCACGTCCCCGTGGCGTGACTGTGAGTTAACAGCGCTAGTAGTCGTGGTACCATCAATATTCAGTAATCCGTATTTACATTGTTCGTTAGCGTGCGTATATCCGAAATTAAAAAAGGTTTTGTTCGCGATTCACTATTTTTATGTGAAAGACGTAATCCGAAATTTAATAGTGTAAAACTATATAAAAGTAGGTATTGTTACAAACTAACTGTTTTAGATAAAGAATACTGAATAGTTATTACTTATAAGTAGGGCTCGGAAGTTGTTGCATTTGCATGATTTTTTTGAACCATTAGATTTATTGCTAAGTAAGCTAGAAATACATTTCAAGACACTACGAAAAACATATCAAAAGTTTTTAGTGCATATTTCTGCATATTTAGTGATTTTTAGATTTTAGAGCATATTTCTTAATTTTACAATTTTTTAAAGCATATTTTATAATTTATGGATATTCAATATGAAAATTTGTAAATAAAAAAATTAATACATTCATATTCAGGGACCTCACTAGATATTCTTGAATCATATTATTCAAATTTCTATTTGACATTAAAAATTATGTTTTTCCTCTATTGGTTAATATGATATAATATTAATATATATAAATATATATATAAATTACAACTACAGCTAGCTTTATCTAAAATAGAATATTATACAAATCTAAAATAGAAACAGCTGCTATCGAAATACGACGATTTTCTATAAATACTTTTATAGGAAAATAACTCAATGATTATTGACTATTGTTAATGGCATTTATAGACCTACCGCTTAGATATTTTGTCAGTTCCGGCTTATACGTCCATGTAAACTGTTGTAGTTCTACGCGTCGTTCTTGTTTCAATTACCTACTTATATTGTTTTTATTTCATAATGCCGAAAACCAAACAATCTGCGAAAAATCGTTTGAATAGTTTTGTTTTGGAATATGGTACGGATATATTCAAAACCGACGGAAGTATTTTATTTTGCAAGTTATGTGAAGTGAAGGTTAACAGTGATCGAAAATTTGTAGTGACTCAACATGTTAACACTGAGAAACATAAACGAGCGCTTATTAGAAAAAACGAAAAAAACAAAAATTGTGAAATTCAACAGTTAGTAACCAATACTCCAAAAAAGTGTCTTTTTTCACACGATTTGTGCAAAGCATTATTGTCAGCAAACATACCACTTTACAAAATAAGTAATCCTCAACTAAAATCATTTTTAGAAAAGTATACGTCAAAAGAAATTCCTAGTGACTCGACACTACGCAAAACTTATGTAAACGACATATACGAAGAAACTATGAAAAATATAAGAGAACAAATTAAAGGAAATAAAATATGGGTGTCGATCGACGAAACAACAGACTCTGAAGGCAGATATGTAGCTAACGTTATAATAGGAACTTTAAATACTGACGCACCGGGAAAAACGTATTTGCTAACAACCGAAGTTCTGGAAAAAGCGAATAATTCAACGATAGTTAAACTTTTTGATCATTCAATGTTCGTCCTCTGGCCAAACGGAATTCGTCACGATGACGTCCTATTGTTTGTGACCGATGCCGCACCATATATGGTAAAAGCTGGGCGAACACTTCAATCACTGTACTCTAAAATGATACACTTAACATGTCTCGCACACGGTATCCATAGAGTAGCCGAAAGTATACGGGAAAAGTTTAAGAAAGTTGATAAACTTATTTCCAGGGTTAAACAGGTGTTCTTAAAGGCGCCTTCACGTGTTTTAGTGTTTAAAAGTGAAGCACCAGCCATACCACTTCCACCAGAGCCAATATTAACTAGATGGGGTACATGGATAATGGCAGCTTCCTATTACTGTAAATATTACAAAGATATACGTAGAGTATTACTAAGTCTAAATTCTGAAGATGCAATTTCTGTTAAAGAAGCTCAACAGTTAGTTCAAGATCCCGATATGGAAGCTAATTTAGTATACATACATTCAAATTTTGGATTTATACCGGAATATATTACGAAACTTGAAACACAATATATTTCACTATCCGAAGCATTATCTGCAGTTAAATATGTCCAAAATAAATTAAACGACTGTGAGGGTGAAATCGGTGTTGCGGTATTTCAAAAATTCAATAATGTATTGGAGAAAAATTGTGGATTTAAAACGATACTTAATATTTCAAAAATATTAAGTGGACAAGAAAGTTCAATGAAAGGTCTTCCTGATGATTTGACCGGTGACGATATTACTTACTTCAAATATGCGCCGATTACGTCAACTGATGTTGAACGTAGTTTTTCAAGGTACAAAACATTGCTCGTGGATAATCGGCGATCTTTCAATTTTGAAAACATTAAAAAAAGTTTAGTGGTCCAATGTAACACTTTTGAAGGTAAGAACAAAATTATATCCAATGCATTTTAATTATTAATTAAAATATTTTTTAATTAGGCAGGTACCTGGTGGTTTTTCTAATTTAGTAATTTGTGTTTATGTATTTCAGGTATATAAATATAACTCGACAGATGTGCATTTTTTTATTCAAGGAACATTTTTAATTTTTAAAGCGATTTTTTTATTATTTTTTTGTTTAAATTTTGATTAAAAAATATAAATAATAATAACTTATATTACTTGGCTTTTTTTTTATTTCCAAATTTAAAAAAAATATTTGTACAAATGAAAATATTGTGTAAAATAATTAAATATAAGTGCATATTTTTAGAGCATATTTGTACTTTTTTAAGCGCATAAGTGCATGCATATTTAGTACTTTTTAAGTGCATTAAGTTCCGAGCCCTACTTATAAGGCATGGGCCGTTGCTGTGTAGTTGGGTGCACATCGGGGTATAAAAGTTATCTAGAAAAGGTGTCAAGATTTGCTGCACCTCGTGATCCAGAGTTAAGAAAAAAATGGTCAAATGCTCTACCAAAATTAAATTATACTGTTAATGACAGGTCATATGTGTGTGAAAAACATTATGCTCCAGAAGAAATTATTAGATATTGGGAATTAGGTACTGAATCAACATTGTTTGTCAAGGTAAGTAATTTACTATATTTCTAATATTTAGGAATATGCATAGGTAGTAGGTAGATATATTTTAGTTTTAAATCAGTAAATTAAGTGTATAGGTCTTATCTAAAATAGTTTTATGCTTTCAATTATATAAATCATATTATACATTGTCAAGTAAAAAAGTCAATGGAGAAAATAGGTACACTTGTTTTTATTTTATGAAGGATATTGATGCCTACATGTATAAGTATCCTACTTAATTCAATTAGAAATACGATAATTATCAATGGATACAATTTAAATTATAATACAACTTTTATATGATATTAATAATACCTATACAAAGGTGAACATTCTCATTTTATACTAAAGTTTAAATAGCAATCAGTAAGTTATTATTGATACAATTAGGAAAAACAATCTCAGATAAGAAATTAGGTAAAACCATTTGAATAAATAATATTTTTTAATTGTGGGTAATAATTAGGTACCTTCCTACCTATATTTCAAGTTTTAATACATATTGAAATTTGCTCTATGAATAGGTACCTATGTACCTAAGTGTATTTTGAGGTGTATTTGTTATTGTAAAATAATTGTTTATATCTACATTATTCAAAATGTACTAACATCATCAATTTTACAATTAATAGGCAATAAATGAAAAAACAATAATAGGTACCAACCTAATAAAAATTAAATTAAGTAACTAATTATTTGAACAACATACTATTGGTTTTATTTTTAGGTTCCATA